AATTAAAACAACTAGCCTAATTTGAACAAAATAATTATGAATTGCCGATTTGAAGAAACAACATAGTAATGTTTTAAATTATCTTTAAGCACAAACATGTCCTACGAGTTACATACTCGTACACAATGTCTAACGTCAGTTATATCATGAAAAACGTTGCTAGAATTCCAAATTTAAAAAATGCACTTGTTTTCTTTTGTATAATTGTCAATAGAATGGTGATGCTCTCATGTTCAATTTTATTCAAAGGCGCTTGCTTCTAAAGTATCTGTACGACGACGTAACGCCTAAATGATAAGATTCCATAGTTCTCCTATTTGTAGGATTTAAGATCAAATGTCAGAATTTACTTTAAAAAAATATTTATTATTATGAACAAAATAGAATCAGGGGTTACTTTGCGGAAAACCATTATATTAAAGATGTTAAAAAATAATTAACTAACATCCGCGTAATAAAATGGAATAGTGGTGTTGGGATCAATGGTTACGGGTATAGTGCACGCCATTGAGGGGGTGCTCTTAAAACTAGATAAGACACATCATTTTATTTTATTATCTGATCTTAACTCATACATTTTTAACATCTATAATTATTCACAAGTGCTTGTTCCGGCCAGGATACGAACCTAGCACCTGAGACTCAGCAGATACTTTCATGACTAAGCCAAACGACTACAAAATTTACACTTACTGTTAATCTGCTTGTGAGGGCTGGTTCGCCAGCTTTTCAGTACCATTACGAGTTTAGTTTGTTTATGGGAAATGTTCTGTTACCTACGTGCCTATTATATTTTATAACTAGATGTATTTAATTATATGAGTGTGTATTTAATTATAACTAGCGTAAAAAAATATAAAACAGAGGTTAGCTGCAGAAATATTTTTTTCATAATCTGACTAAAGAAGAAACAGCGTCTGTAGACTTCTTTGGTTATTTTTAAATTATAAAAGATTTAAAAAAAAAATACGTATTTCATTCCTACCAACTCGTTTGTATCGTAGAGTTACATATATTAAGACTGTGATGTAACGCACGATATGATCTATTACAATATTCTGTCAATACCGATGCGATTACGTAGTGATATTTTAAAACATATTTATTTTTCTTTATTTATAGTTGCATTTTATGCAAAGAGGTCCCACTTCAGCGTATTATGGCTTGAAGAACCACGTTCGCAGAGAATACCAGCATTATGATGACGAAAAGAACTCACTGGGGTCAATGATGAGAACCGAAGACCCTATTACAAACGACTTCAAAAATACGAAGAGATTCTCAATACAACTGTTTTTTGATGTTTTTTATTTATTTGAAAGCTGGTGCTTCTTTTGTGGTCCTATATAAATTTTATCAAAACCTGACCAGTCGTTTTTCTGTTATCCTTAGTAATTCGTATTTAATTGACCGCGACTACATTGATGATGTTCTCATCTTATTTATAATATTAAAGTCGATTGTACAAAATTTTTAATTTTACCACTTGGTACTGATAACGAAGCGTGCCATTTCTCTAAGATATACGCTTCTACTTTTTATTCTTAATCAAGGATGGATGTGTGTTTTATGGAATACAGTGTCTGTTATACAGTTTTCATTTCAATATATTCTTTTACCGGACTACTCTAGGACCAGGATAAAGTTTTTGGAATATATGTAGCGGTTTAGTGGTGCTGTACTGGAAGTATTCTTTTCATTTGTTTTATGTACCTTTAAACTGACTATCTATTGACTAATAGAATGTCTATACAAAACTGTCTTTGAGTCATTCATCTATTGACTTTCAGCATTCCTCACCAGGTCGTCACTCCATCTAGAAAGGCTGTCCCCCAATAAATGACCGCGACCAATTTAGTAGAATATTATTGTGAGACGTCAAAAACGTCAACCTGGCCTGCAACCAACTTCAAATAAATCTCCTTTAGAGAGCAACAGCAGCTACTGCCTGCAAAAATAGGTAATCGGTTGCTTAGCCATAAATGGAACCCTACCCAGTAAACATGCCTAGCCTACTGGACCTAGACAACCAGACAGTACTGGTATAAGGAAGTCAGCTAGCTTCAATTTAGCCTAGAATTTTCCGAAAATATGTCTTTACCTACTAACGTATTTAGTCACTTTTTTTCTACAGTAATTTTTATCAATTCAAGAATTCAAGATTTCGTGGAAGTTAATTCTAAATTGAAGAACACTTATTAATAAAAAATGGTACACATTGATATCTTTTAATATCATTTAATGTAAGACGTACATATTATGTTGGGAGGATATCCACTACATCCAGATATAAGACGGATGCGCAATCACTTTACTAAGATGCTGCATCCCGATAACAATCTGTATTTTGACCATACTCAGGTATATCGTAGTTAAGATAAAAAAATTACAATAAAAATTTCTATAATAATCAGAGTAAAAGGGTGATTTATATAAATATTAAAAATAATTTCATGTGAAATCACCATGTAGTCGCTTCTTCAAAATTCTCTCGTGGTTCTGTGTATTTATAAAAATAAGAGGGGGCTGTAGTGATCCGAATATAAGCTGTTACACTCTTTACTTATTTATTGAAATTAAAGTGACAGAAAAGTTAACTTATGTACCTTTCTCAGCCCTGGATACCTGCAGTACGTTTTACCTAAGATTTAATGATTTAATTTAATTAACTCAGCTTTGGATACCATTGCTGCCACACTACTCAGACTCCTAATTATAACAGGAATCCTAGAAAACAATAACACGACTTTTTACTTTATATATTATGGTAAAGTAAAAAGTACATAAGACATATAAATATATAGGAAAAGATTAAATTAAAATAGAAAAAATAAAGGTATTATTTTTTCTATTTTAATATTTGACCCGTGGGTGGACTGGCGGAGAATGCAAACAGTCTTCGATTACCTTATTTTGAAGTTTTGAAATAAACAAAAGTAAATAAATTAAATATATTATAAAAGTAATAATAAGAAAAGTATTACCCCTACTGTGGTTATTGGTTACATAACCAATTGAATACGAAGCTCTGACTTCCGGCTAAAGGCGGAAGCTATCATCTACGCTCCTCGTAGGTACGACTGCTATTACGAGCACAATGTAGTAAACGCTAAAATAAATAGACGCTTACTTGTCAACGTAGTTTCAAAATGATTGAACATTAATCAATAATTAATTTATAATTGTATATTGATATATTTAATATTATGTATAAACGTACCGCACATTTACATTTACATAACATACTTTTAATATTACACTACATTTTTTTCCCCCAATTGGCCACATTTAACGCAAATAATTGAATTGATTTCATATAGATCCCAAACGTGGTCCTTTACTGTTGGCCGTATAAGGAAATACAAGCAAGCTATGGAGAGGTCTCGTAATTTCCCTGCGTGAGAAAATTTAAATTTAGGACAACTCCTATATAACCAAAGTAATCGACATAACCTAGCGGATCAGTAAGCTGAAGTGGCAATAAGCCAATCATATTATATATTATAACTCGAAAAACCGTCAATCGAAGGGGAAGAAAGGTTTTTTTAGAAGCAGCCCCTTACGGGTAAACTAAGTGTGTAGAAAACTATATAAAATAATGGAAAAAAGACGTAGTCACGTGACAGTCACGCCACTTTTGACGATGAGTTAATATATAATTTTCATTATAATATTCATCTAGCGTTAACGATTGTAGAAAGTTATCACGATTATCTCCACAGGCTGAAAATTTTCAACGGCAGGGCTTCAAATAGGTTCCCTACGCATGTTTATGCCCAGGAATCCGTCTGGGTATGCACCACCTTCTTGTTTATTTTTACAGTCCGCAGCTGCTAATCCTTGAGGTTGGTTGCAGGCCAGGTGGACTTTTATGACGTTTGTTACTAAAATTAAAACCAAAATAATTTGACATTTCATAAGTATAAAATACCATTTAATATTTATATGTTTGAAAATTTTATGACCGCTAAAAGTTTTACAAACATTATTTAAATTTGGCCAGTAATATGTAACCGCAATAAAAAAATGGCTTTTACTTACCCTATTAAAATTATTCTTATGATGTATAAATAATATAGTAAAGTAAAGTTACAGCCTATATACGTCCCACAGCTGGGCACAGACCTCCCATCATTTCTGAGAGGGTTTTAGGGCAAGGAAGTGTCCGCCGCGCTGCCCCAATGCGTGTTGGCGAACTTCACTGTCTTCGAAATATTTTTTTCTTATTCCTCAGACATGCAGGTTTCCTCACGATGTTTTCCTTCACCGCCAAGCAAGTGGTAAATCAGCACTTAAAATTGCAATTAACAATTTCATTGGTGCCGGCGGGTATCGAACCCGGATTACTCGCGTTCTGTTATATTTACAGCGATCGTTAACCATCTGAGCTACCACGGCTCTAAATACGGCGACTAAATAATACCACGGCAGCTAAATAATGTAACACCGTTAATACTTTCTGCAAAAATTATACTTAACTTTCAATTGTTATACAAAATCATTACAATAAAAATGTAATAAAAACAAACACCTACACATCTAGAGATAATAATGATAATCGACTTCAATATTATTACATCCTACTTACGTAGGGAGGTAGCGATAAAAATATTATTGTGGAATCAAAACGAGTTGGGTGTATAAAACTTAGTACACGTAATATATATAACACACGATCTAGAAAAAAGAGAAATTTAGATGCGAACATGTAATCAAATGTACACTACTAATTAGCGGGAAATGTTATCAACTCAATTAAGAATCGCAGCGTCAGATAGACATGACAACATGGCGAGGGATGCTGCGCGGTACAGCCTCCGTCACGGGCGTAGTCGTAGTACGTCCCGAACAAAGCGTCCCGCCCTACACGCTTCCTGCCTCCATTCCAGCCCAGGCGGGATGAAATCCTGCCTTAACACTTTTTCATGTATGAAACGCGCACTTAAATACGCCTAGAACGAGCACTTTTATTTTAATTTTTAAATTAAGTATGAACGTACGTATAAGAAGTATAGTAGGTTGGCAAGGAGGCGAACGTCGAACATGTATAATCGACAGCGCGGCCCGCGGGATACTGGCTGGCACAGCCTCCGAGCTGGCGGGGGCGCGGGGCTGCGCGGGCTCGCTTTTCATTAAGGTCCTGTGCTACGCCACTGTAGCAAAGGAACCGTCCAGGCCGTCAAGGAAAAGCTTCAGCCTTTTTGATTTTCTGTCTATTCATGTCAGACTTTTCTTAGAAGTAACAACATTCCGAGCATTCACATTATACCGTGCCACTTTAAAATTGTAATTTGGATGACGTTAGTAAAACAAACAGAACAGAAATAATTAAGAAAAAATATTTTATAGGGTTTAATTAGTTTCGCTTCGACCATACTTACCAATGTGAAGAGAGCTTAATAAACAAGAGGGCAATGTTATTACGCTTCTTGAGTTTATAACACAATTTGAAATAGTACAATGTAAACTATATTCTGTTCTTAAATTAACGTTATTTTATATGGCATCATGGGTCTCGCAGATTAACTGGGTACTATGTCCAAAGTTGAAATCCTATCCGGAGATAAAATATATAAACATAAACATATATAAACACTCACGCCTGTCACCCAGAGGGGTAGGCAGAGACTACGGACTTCCATTTGGCACGACATACACTGACATACCTCTTTCGCCTCCTCTACATCCATATATCTACGCATACATGCTCGTCGGTTAAGGGTACTTCTAACGTGGTCCATTTTCAAAATATCGCCAATTTGGTCGATAAACTTTTTTCTAGGGCGTCCCTTCCCGACTCGGCCATTCACATCTGCCATATAAATTTGCTTTGTCACTCTTTCCTCATTCATTCTTTCTGCATGACCAAACCACCGAAGCATTCCTTTCTTAATCCTGGTCACAACATCATCTTGCATACCACATTTATCTAATCTACTGTAGACAAAAATTTTAGCAATAACACGAATCGAGCAATTCAAGCGAATCGAACGAAATTTTAGCAGTAAAAGTTCCTGTAGAATAGCCCAGGTGTAGCATCAAGAGGCAAAAATGGTGAATGTATACAAATGAAAATATAATAAATATATAGGACTGTATTTGGTGCATTCCACCGTAAACACTTACAGAATATCAGCGTAAATAGTAGCTTAATGTTTAAGATATATTTTAAACTTTGAACATAGCTTGCTGAGCGACCTTAAACTTTCTTATGCAGTTATCGGTGAAGAACCATGTCTCTGATTCATGTCATCACTGGCAACATGGACCTCTTGGTCGAAGTTGGACTAAGAAGTCCAACGTACATTACATTAACCATGAGTATATGAATGTAAATATAATCCAAACCCACTCTAAAAATTATATTTTATAAACAATATAATTATTTATACTTAGGATCAACTATGTAATTAAACTATTAAATAATCCAATTTCCCCTATTAAATTTATTAAAGGTGGAGCTGCTATGCAGGGATATTTTGAACGAGTAAATCTACACTAAATAGAACTAAGTTCTAATATTATATAAATAATAATGTACCGTTATGGCAGGTTTTGAAAAAACTAGTAAATAAGGCTTCTACTTTTATTTGAAGTTATCCCAAATTGAATGTGATTCATGGGCAATAACGTTTTTGCCTACCGATCGACCCTTACAAATGTGCGCGTGCGCAGTAAAATCAATTAAAATAATGCATTACCACGCGTTTTGTATTTAAAAGATAATGAGGACAGAATATTTAAAAAAAAATAATATTTCTTCATCATTTGCCTAAATTACTTATTCTGAACCATCTCTGCAAATTTGGCCGGTTATTAACAAAATAACCCTGTATATTAGAAAATATTAACCAAAATGAAAATCATCATATTAGTTTATGATGATTATAAAATTAATTATACCCTTATTTAAAAATAAGTGGACTTGAAATGGGCTATAATGATGATGATGATGATAGTGATGAAGTGTATATATAATAATAAGGAAACTAACAATCTATGTATAATTTACGGCTATATTATAGATGTGTTATGTGTAAATGAGACGAAACGAAAGGCAAACGGTGCCACTGCACATGGCACGTATACCGCGTATTGGTCTGGTGTAGACGAGACCGAACGGGGATGCCAGGGAGTCGGTTTCATCCTTTCAGAAAGAATGGGTCAATGTGTGAAAGAGTATGAATGTGTAAGCCCGAGGCTGATGATACGAATGAAAGTGGGCTTAAAGAAGCTGTTCTTGCTAGGGGTGTATGCCCCAGACATGTCTAAGCCCACTTACATCCGAGAAGTTTTGGGAATGGTAAGGATGGTGTTGAAATGTAAGGAAAATGAAATTTTTTGTTAGGAGCTTTATGGAAGGGTTGGGGTGGGTTATGAAAGGATTTGGGTTGGTGCTGTGGAAGAATCTTTTGTGACGAATACTTTTTTTCGTCATAAGAAGATTCACATGTATACATGGGAAAGAGGTGATGATAGAAGCATGATAGATTTCGTTAATTGTGGATGAAAGAATGAGGAGCGCAGTCGTAGATACAAGGGTTTACAGGGTTCCAACGTAGGGACGGATCATTACTTGCTCTTATGTCGAATTAATGGTCTTTTCAAGCGTTGCGTGGCGGCATCGGACATCTGTGTCTACCACTGCGTTACAGCGTATAAGAATAGAGAAGTTACAAGATGAAGATGTGAAAGAGAAGTATAAATGTAGACTGAGAGAAAATATTAGATGTTTGAATGAGTTTTGTATGAATGATTTAGACTTGAATACTGTGTGGGATAATATTAAGAAAGGTTTGGTGGATGCAGCCACCGAAGTATGTGGTGTTAAGTAAGAGAACAAATGAAAGGAAAAGTAATACGTTGTGGTGGGATGATGAGGTACGGGTGGAAGTTGAATCAAAGAAGAAAGCATGGCTAGATTTCATAGCAACCAAAGCTGGTAATTCTGGTGGTATGAATGAGTAGATTGAAAGAAAAAAGGCAGAATTTAGACGTCTAAATAAGAGAGTAAAAGAAGTAGTTGAAAGGAAAAAGAAAGAAAGAACGGATAAGAATGATAGAAGGATATCTGATAATTTCCAGGCTAATATAAAAATGTTCTGGAAACTCGTTAAAACCAATATATAAAGGAAAAGGGTCACAGCAGGACTGCAAAAACTACCGTGGTATCAGCTTGCTTAGTATTGTGAGTAAACTGTATGCTAAGGTGTTAATTGAAAGAGTTATCAAAGAAACTGATGGAAAAATTTGGGATGTGCAAGCGGGTTTTAGAAAGGGAATGGGGTGTACAGATCAAGTCTTTTCCATGCGCATGATTGCGGAGAAGTTTTTTGCTAAAAACCAGAAAGTTTTATGTGCGTTCATGGCCTTGGAAAAGGCTTATGACAGAGTGGACAGGAATGTGTTATGGCAAACACTGAACTCATATGGGTTGAGCGCTGGTTTGATACAGGCATTAAGGTCTCTTTATAGGGACTCTAATGCTTGTATCTGGATTAATGGGGTCTACTCGGACTGGTTTGGCAACCAAAAAGGTGTCAGACAGGGTTGTGTAGCTTCCCCTTGGCTGTTCAACCTATTTATGGACAGGTGTTTGCAAATTTTGAAAGATGAAGAATGTGGGTTAAGAATGGGCGAGTTAACCGTCAAATGCCTTTTGTATGCCGATGATCAAGTCATATTTGCGTCATCGGCGGCTGAGTTGCAAATGATGGTTACATTAGTGAACTGGGCATTAAAAGAAAGGGGAATAAAAGTGAACGCAAGTAAGAAGTGGTGGTTTTTGAAAGAGAAGAAAGCAAAACGGTATGTGAAATAAGAATAGAAGTAGAGTTAATTGAGCAAGTGGATGAGTTTGTGTATTTGGGATGTGTATTTAGCAGGGATGGTAGATACGATAAGAATATAGAACTACGAGTAAATGCAGGGAATAGAGTGAATGGGGCACTACACTCTATTATGAATAACAAGAATATGTCAAAAAAGGCACGTATGGTAATTCACAATTCTGTGTTAGTAGAAGAAGCACGAAAGTAGAATAAATGCTGTAGAAATGCGGTCTTTAAGGAGTATGCTAGGGTTGAATCTGAATGACAGGGTGAGAAATTGTGTGATAAGTGATAAGATAAATGTGGTATGCAAGATGATGTTGTGACCAGGATTGAGAAAGAAATGCTTCGGTGGTTTGGCCATGTAGAAAGAATGAATGAGGAAAGAGTGACAAAGCAAATTTATATGGCGGATGTGAACGGCAGAGTCGGGAAGGGACGCCCTAGAAAAAAGTTTATCGACCAAATTGGCAATATTTTGAAAGTGGGCCACGTTATAAGTACCCTTAACCGACGAGCATGTATGCGTAGATATATGGATGTAAAGGATGCGAAAGAGGTATGTCAGGATCGTGCCAAATGGAAGTCCGTAGTCTCTGCCTACCCCTCTGGGTGACAGGCGTGAGTGTTTATGTTATATGTTAATTTACGGCCTTCTAGATCACATGACTCCTTTCATTTCTGCAACGGTTATGTACTCGTAGCAATTACCTAGTTCATCGCGCTTCTCCAGTGCGTGCATAGTAGTAGAAGTCAGAATTCAAAAATGTCCTAGAAGTATTCTATTTCAAAGATCTAAGTTTATTTTCTAAGGTATCAGCGCTGTTACCCACTTGACTTTTACAGCTGCATCGAACAAAGGGTGACGATGATGATGATAACTGATGATCACAGACTTAAAGATTTTTCACAATTTTCTTTCATCATCAATTCTACAGCGATTGACAAACCAACACTCCAAATTATTCGGATTAACACTTTCATCCACCCAGGTAGTTCCCGTACTGTAAAATTTATTTTCCGAGCTACCACCGCCTTTTCTGAATATTACCCGTAGCTATAAATTTAAAGTAAAATAATTTAGTAATTAAGAAATGAGTATTGGTTATAAACTACGGTTACGGTTACGGTTTCGGGTGCTTTCCAGCACCCAGGGGCACGGGGAACTATGGTGACTTACGTCCGATGTTATCTTAACCCGAAGTACCTTCAACTTTTTAATGATTATTTATGGTTCAATCTTCGCGGAATGAACTTGCTCTATCTTGAAGTTTTGCAGTGGTATACTTGGGTTTTGTTTTA